TTCTTGCTGAGGTCCCTGGGTTGATCCTACACAGCACTGCCAGGTAACTTAGCTGTCTCTCTAACAGGCTTGTGGATCCACCATACGTGGTAATGAGTACTTCAAAGAAGAAACTGAGGCCCCAAGAGGTGAAGTCACCACCCTAAGGCCACACAGCCACTCTGCAGATGCATCAGGAAATGTCCTCATCCCCAGCCAGCGCCCTCAGGGACATGCTCAGGGTGGGCAAGCCTTAGAGGCCTCATTTTCCCCACCTGTGGATTGGGGACAACGCCGTCGGTGAGTGGTGAGGAGGAGGCATCGCTGGTACGATGCCGACTGCGTGACAGGCTCCGCTGGAGGCTCACAAACCCGCTCAGCGTGCCAGCCTGCAGAGAGGGATTGCCACCATGGCCATCTGACAGGTGAGGAACAGAGAGGTCACACAGCAAGAAGGCAAGCAGGACAGGGATCTGGACCCTGGATGTCTAGTTCTATTTATGCCTCTAATTACTGTACTACCAGGTCCCCTAACCCACTCCCTCTCTGCTGTCCCTCTGGCAGCGAGTTTGAAGACGTGGGTCACGGTGCCATTGCCGGCCCAGGCACATACAGCTCTCTAGAGCATGGCCCCAGGGCTCTCTGCTGGCAGTGAGAAAGGCCCAGAAGGTGTCTGGGGTCAAGACTGCAATAGTACCAGTGTCCCACCCAGCCTCTCTAGCACGGTGGCCTGCAGACTGGCCTTGAGGATGGAGCCCTCAGAAGGGCTAAACAGAGACTGGCACTCACCACTGTCTGTACCAGCAGCCCACAAGCCAACTTCAGGGTCTAGCTTGGTTCACACTGTCTACTGGACCCTCCCTCACCACAAATTTTGAGGCCACATCCAATTTTGTGGCCATCAGCCATATATATATATATATATATATACAGCCCTCAATATATACATGGATCCATTCAGTCTTCACACCAACTCTATGGCTACCTTCTGTTGTGTTTTGTTTTGTTTTTTTAGTTTTTTGGGGGGTATTGGGGCTTGAACTCCGAGCCTGGGCACTGTCCCTGAGCTTTTTTGCTTGAAGTTAGTGCTCCACCACTTTGAGGCACATTGTCATTTCCAGTTCTCTGTTGGAGATATGAGTCTCATGGACTTTCCTGCCCAGGCTGGTTTTGAACTGCAATCCTCAGATCTCAGCCTAGGGTTACAGGCATGAGCCACCAGTGTCCAGCTGGGCTAACCTTCTCTAGAGATGAAGGTGGACCAGACAGCTAGGAGCCAAGGTCAGTACAAACCACCACGCAAGGCTACCGCACTATGATTAGAGATCACAGTTGCTCCTATTCTGACCAAATTAAATGGGATCCCAGTGGAAGCACTGAGATCCGTGGTTCCTGGCACCACTACCTACCTAGGACAGAGACCTCCACAGTTGTCTCAGAGGCTGATTCCTAGGTCCCCTCACTCCATACTGAAAGATCACTGGGTCTGGGTAATAGGATGTTCTAAATGTTTCCATTCCACCTGCTGTCAATCAGGACCATTTTTCAATTGTGTGTATATGTGTGTGTGTGTGGGGGGGATTCTGTATATGTATATGTGTGTATGTTTGTGTGTGTGCCGGTATTGGGGCCTGGGAGTTGTCTCTTAACTTTTTCACTTAAGGAAAGGATAGTATCGTACCACTTGAGCCATACTTTTGCTTCTGGCTTTTCGCTGCCTAATTGGAGATAAGAATGTCATGGACTTTCTGTCCAGGCTGGCTTTGAACGATGATCCTCAGATCTCAGCCTCCTGAGTAGCTAGGATCACAGTGCTCTGCTTCACCAGAAGTATCTTACCCACAAGGTGCACCCCATCAGGCTGTCACATCTGGATGGGGACATGGAAGGCAGTTAATGGGTAGGAAGCAGGGCTACTGTTAAACATCCTACAATGCACAGAAGAGTTGCGCTGTACAGCTGGCCCCAATGTCACTAGTACCAAGGTTAAGAAAACCTGGTGAGGTAATTTCCTGCCCTCATCCCCCTGCTGGCCTCCTCCTTCACTTTGGACTGCATCCAGTCACGTCAATGTCTCCTAAGAAGACATTTCTAGAGAAAACAATGACCCAAATCAGCCTTTCTAAACCAGGCAGGGGCTGACTCACTCCTCCAGCAAAATCTACCAGGCCCTGGTGCCAGGTCAAGCCTAGACTCCTAGGTTCTAGCCTCATCTCTGCCCCACAGGCTCAGGGAAAGTTTGAGGCTGGGGAAGGTCTGGAATAGGTAGGCCCATCTGGAGTCTCAAATCCTCCGGGATCTGACTTAACCCTTTAGCCCCGCCCTTTTGGTTCCCTCACACACCAGAGCTGAATGACATTGGCCATGACTCCCTACTCCCCTTCCCTACTCCGCCCCCACCCCGTTTCACCTCTCAACTCCCAAGATGTGAAATTTCAGACCATCAGCCCTTACCATCCCCAAATCTGGAAGAGTGAAGAATCTCAACCATCTGAGATTCCTAAAGCCCCAAGCCTGGGGCTACAGATGGTAGATTAGGGATTCTGGGAGGAAGGAAGGCAGCAATTCCAGAGTTTCCCTCCTCACTCCCTGCCAGATCAGGGGGTGAGGTGGCCAAGCTTGGGGTCTATCAGTGATGGATAAGGGAGGTGGGGAAAAAGATTCCTCCACCCCAGCCCCACCCAGCCTCACCCACCGTAGAGGAACTTGGGGCGAGGGTTCACCCCTTTGCTGAGCCTGTCTGTCCGGTTTCAGTTGGAATTGGCCATCTTTTCCCAGTGAGAGATCCTAGCATCCCCAAAGGCAACAGGGGCACCCAGGGGTCACTCAGGCCTCCTTGCTGGACACTGAGGTTCTGGCTGTCCCCTCAGGAGCAAGGGTGGCAAGTCACAGGTGTACTGAGATGATGCCATTCCCAACACCCTCATCCCATTTCATGTGGCTCAAAAGCAAGGCAGCAAGAGCAGTGGTCATCTAGACAAGCCCTGATTCCAGAGGCAGATGGCTGTAAGCACCTCTGCCCCAGCTAAGATTCCTGGGTCACTGCCTGAAGTTAGCAACTGATTCCATGTCAAGTGGGTAACAAGCCTACTCTGTGGGTGGTGGGCACGTGGTCTCCTACCTTGTAAGTGGCTAAGTGGCAAAGCTGGATCTGAACCTGGGAGAGCTGATTCTGTAATGTCTCAAAGCAACAGAAAAACCAACTAAGGAGGAGAAATTCTCATTTTTCACAAGGAGAGGTACCTTTTCCTGAGAGGATCCCAAACTAAAGCCCTCAACAAAAGTCAGGTTTTCTGGCTGGGAATACAGTGGTATTCAGATCCTGGATTTATCCCTAGTACTTTTGGCGTGAGTGTGCTGGCTCAGATGTTGTATCAGTTGAGCCGTACTTACACTTATGGCTTTTTGCTGGTTAATTGGAGATAGTCTCATGGACTTTCCTGCCCAGGCTGGCTTCAAACCTCCATCTTCTTATCCCAGCTCCCTGAGTAGTTAGGAGCCACCTGTGCCCAGCTCCTAGTACTAGTTTTAAAGTCAGAATTCAGCCAGATGCTGGTAGCTCTCGCCTGCAATCCTAGTTACTCAGGAGGCTGAGATCTGAGGATTGTGTTCGAAGCCAGCCCAGGCAGAAATGTCCCATAAGACTCTTACCTCTAGGGGCTGGGAAGGTGGCTCAGTGGTAGAGTACTTGCCTTGCATGTATGAGGCCCTGGGTTCGATTCCTCAGCACCACATAAGCAGGAAAAAAAAAAAAAAGAAAAAGCCAGAAGTGGCGCTGTGGCTCAAGTGGTAGAGCGCTAGCCTTGAGCTGAAGAGCTGAGGGACAGCGCCCAGGCCAGAGCTCAGGCCCACGACTGGACCCAAAACAAACAAACACTCTTACCTCTAATTAATTTCTCAAAACCCACAAGTGGTACAGTAGCTCGAGTGGTAGAGTACTAGCCTTGAGCAAAAGGAGCTTAGGGAGGGGCTGGGAAGGTGGCTCAGTGGTAGAGCGCTTGCCTTGCATGCTTGAGGCCCTGGGTTCGATTCCCCAGCACCACATAAGCAAAAAGAAAAAAAGCCGGAAGTGGCGCTGTGGCTCAAGTGGTAGAGTGCTAACCTTGAGCTGAAGACCTGAGGGACAGTGCCCAGGCCCAGAGTTCAGGCCCCACAACCGGACCCCCCCAAAAAAAAAAGGAGCTTAGGGATAGTGCCCAAGGCCAGAGCTCACGGCCCATGATCAGCAAAAAAAAAATAAATAAAGTCAGAATTCCACTTTGGGCATGGCCTGGAGGATTGAGCCCCTAGGGAAAAACATCATGGTGTTGCCCCCTTCCTAAAGTCCACTTGGGGCAGAGATCAAAGCAGAGGGGAGAAGACTAATTACCCCCAAACAGCTTCAGATTGCTAGGTGGTTGAGGACCTAATGAAGCACGCTGAGTTCCTCCTGTTTACAGGCCCAGTGTCCCCAGTAGGCCTTCAGAGCTTCTGGGGCCTAAGGAGCAGGCCTGGGAAGTCAATCATCAACTCTGGTTCATTCCCTGGGATACCTCACACACTCTCCAGAGCCAGAGCCCACCAGAAGGAACAGGTGCCAGCCGGCAGGGAAAGCTGCCTTTTCCTTTGGAAGCAATTTGAGGAGGAAAGGCGCTCAAATGATCTGGGCCTCCTGAGCCCCAAGGAGTCTAGCATCACAGACCCCTCGCGGGGGGCGGGGGCAATGCCCTTTCATTTTTTTCTCTCCTTCCACCTCCTTGGCAGCCCTGTGACTAGGCAGGCAGGCCAGACAGTTGGATGCCCATTGTACAGGTGTGAGGCAGCGGTGACACAGCCAGTGAGAGACCTGAGACAAGGAGCCCCAACTCACACACATCCCCCTTCCTGGGAAAGCTCCCCTCCCACACCTCACTTCCAAAGTCAGATTCCTAAGAGGCCTTTCGGGCAAAGCCAAGTAAATCCTTCATCCCGGGACAGAAAATCTGGTCTCCTTCCCCTTGCCCGTCTGGGCCAGGGCAGGGTCTCTCTGGCTTCTCGCTTACCTTGTTAAACTGGAACAGGTCCCGCTTCAGCCTCTCCCTGGCAGGGTCATGCCCAGGTCTCAGGAATCGCCTCATCTTCCTCAGTTTGCAGCCCTCACCAGAGACCTGCGGAAACCAAAGGAGCCCTTGAGCCTGGCCCCACAGCTGCCTGGTGCCTGGGCCATCCCCATCTTGCCAGTCTTTCCCCCCAAGCCCAGCTTCACCCAAGGCTTCCTGCCCGCCATCCATAGTGTGGTCCCCAAGAGGAAGTCAGGGAGACCTTGGTACCTGGAGGCCTAGGCTTGTCCCTGCTGGCTAATGCTCTAAAGCTACCAGTGGCCTTATAATGGGAGCAGGAAAAGCTGGGGGAGGAAGCCATTTAGTCTGGCTTTATAGGAACAAGGAGGGCCAGCAGGCCCTGAGGTTAATTAGCTTAATTGTTAACCTGTTTTCTGAAAAACCATAAAACTCCAGAAAGGGAAACTTCACAAGCTTCCCCCTGGAGCTGGTGGAAAGATGGAAATGCAAGGCTGTCCCCAAGAACTTCCAGAACAGAACCCAGAGGCACTGGGGCAATTCCAGACCTGGGGTAGGGGACCAAACACCAAGGCCATCTCCTCCAAACTTCAGGGAGATTGCCTAGGGGCTTGGGTCTCTCCCACCAGACAGCCATGGGGACTGAGTGTAAGAAGGCCCCCAGAGTGCTTATTCAGGGAGGCTGGGCTATCACCAGGGCTGGACACCCAGCTCTAATTAATTCCACGAGGCTGCTAGAGTCTCTTTGGCAGGCCTGGCCTCAGCCTCCCTGTTGATCCCGGGGCTGGCTCCCTTTCCTGGGGACCCAAATGTAGCCCAACTACAGAAGATCTGCACCCAATTAAAAAGCAAAATAACAGGGGCTGGGAAGGTGGCTCAGTGGTAGAACACTTGCCTTGCTTGCATGCATGAGGCCCTGGGTTCGATTCCTAAGCACAGCATAATCAAAAAGAAAAAAAGCTGGAAGTGGCGCTGTGGCTCAAATGGTAGAGCGCTAGCCTTGAGCTGAAGAGCTGAGAGACAGCAGCGCCCAGGCCCAGAGTTCAGGCCCCACGACCGGACCAAATGTAAATAAATAAATGCAAAACAACAACAAAGATCACACACACACACACACACACATATACACACAACCCACCAGATCAAGGATCCTAAACCATCTGCCCACCATAGAATGTTATTTCCAGTCCAAGGGGGAACTATTTCTGGATTACCCTTGGGGGAGGGGGAAGGATCAACTGCACTCTGGCTTCCGCCTAGCACCACCTCCCACTGACCACAGGATGCCAAGTTCCGTCCTTAGGAAACACAAGGGCTCAGGCCTACTCTACAAAGGGCTCCATGCATTCCTCTCTAGACTAAAAGGAAGGCAAGCCCCTATCAGGGAGGAGCTTACTTTGGGCAAAGACAGGTAAAGACAGGCCAGCTGTGTGCTAAATGCTCCTGCTGGGGCGTAGAGAGGGGATTGGGCCTGAACTGACCAGGTGGGGGGTCCTGTCTAAGCTGAGGCTTGAAAGATGTTCTGATGATTTCAACTTCTTGGGTGGTGGCAAAAATTAATCACAGGGCTGGTGTTGAAGCTTAGTGGTAGAACATCCACCTGTCACGTGCAAGGCTCTGAGTTTGGTCACACACGCACACAATTTCTGAGCATGTTGGCATACACCTGTAATCCTAGTACTAAGGCAAAAGGATCATGGGGTACAACGCAAGTTCCAGGCCAACCTAGGCTATATATACGGTGAGAGCTTGCCTCAAAGAACAAAACAAAACAACAAACAAACACCACCAATAAAACCACCAGGGCAGTTTTCATAGGAAAGGACCCTAGAGATCTAAGGCTGGGAACCAGAGACTGGGGGCGACTCCCCACCGTAGCATCTGTATGGCAGAGTTAGGAGTTGCAGGCTGCTCCAGCGACAAGGCTCGCCTCACGCTACATTCCTGCTGCAAAGGACAGGCAGAGAGGAATACCTACTCCGAATGAAAAGATGGGAAGGGTCATTTCCAAACGAAACCCCAAGGACCCCTCAAAGCACTATCAGCCATGGAGTGGCAGTGGGGGAGAGGGGAAGGGTGGGGGGGAGGCTGGTGTCTTCACATTTTAGGGGAGCCAGACCACAGTTGAGGGAGGGAGCCTCCCACTTCCACGGCAGGGGCAGGTAGCTAGGAAAGTCCCAGTGTCTACTTGATCTGGGGGCCCTGCAGCAGGCCAGAGAACAAACAGCAAGCATGAAAGCCCAGGGGCTGCTGGGATTGGGAGTGAAAACAGACTCCGGGCAGCAGCCATCTCCAGTGATCTCTGCCTCTGGACAAACAGCTGAGCCACCACACATTCCAGCAGTGGGGGAGGGTGGCTCAAGCTCATAAAGCAGCAGGCAGGCCCCTGGGGTGCTGACTCTCCCCTCTCCAGCTCAGGTCACTGGGTCAGAAACCAGAGGAAGCTGGGAATGACTCCCTAGAAAGAAGAGCCACGCCCCCCCCAAGCTTCCAGGTCCTCTGTGCCAAAGACCCCACGCGGGCTCAGGGGCCAGGGTCGGAGGAGGGAGGGGACAGGTCAGGAGATGCTCCACTCGGCCAGATGGGCAAGGGTACTCAATGCCCACCACCCACCCAAGTGCCCTTCCCAGTACCTGCTACACACGAGGCCCTGGACTAGATCGGCTCCATGATTGTTATTATTAAAAATTTTGGTTCAAGCAATCTGTGCTCATTCAAATACAGAGAAGCCCCCACCCACCACCCCAAACCCTACAGCCAGAGACAGTCACTCTAACATGTTTGCACAGGTCCTGAGCACCTTTGAACTCCACAAGGTTTTAGCTACAGCCGCAAGCCCCTGGGTAGGTAAATGGAGCAGCTCCACTTGACAGACGAGGAAACCAAGACGGCAGATGCTAAGCAACCTGTCCAAGGTCACCAAGTAGGAAATGGCAGAATTCTGATCTGACCCCAAGCCTGACAAACTCCCCAATCTAAGGGCTTCAGTAGGCAGTGAAAGATGGCTATTACAGGACAGTGGTGCCTAATTACCTCCCTGCAGTTAAAAGACAGGGCCACGCGTGTACACATTCCCATAGGCCATTAGCTCAGAGCCAGACAGGCAGCTTGAGGCCAGGATACCGGCCACTGCCTCCTGGATGCTGGAGGTCTGGCTGGCCTTGGTAGCCTTGCAGAGAACTGCTGCCTGTCCTACAGGGGTTTGGACAGAGGTAGGAGTAGGTCTCCATTGGACCCTCAGTGTAGTCTTCCAAAACAGAAATCACACTACTGGGGCAAGGCAGAAAAGTTCACCACCCCTTCTTGAGGTAGAGGACAGGTCTGGGCCTGGCCAGACTCACTTCAGGCACCTTCTCCCCACAGGGCCATGTACCTTGGGCCAGCAAGTTCTCTGTGAAGATCAGAAGCCAGGCCTGGCAGACCGTGCCTGTTCAGCCCACTCCAGGGAGACAGAAGATATAAAGGGAAGAGTCTTGCATGGAGCTAATACACAGGAAACTGAGCCAGCTGGCCTTCTCAGATCGCTTGATTGTGAGGAGAATGGTACTCCACTTCTGGTTTTCTGGTGGTTCACTGGAGCTAAGAGCTCATGGGGGGCTGAGAAGGTGGTTCAGTGGTAGAGTGTTTGCCTCACATGCATGAGGCCCTGGGTTCCATTCCTCAGCACCACATAAACAGAAAAAAAATAAAATAAAAAAGCTGGAAGTGGCGCTGTGGCTCAGGTAGAGTGCTAGCCTTGAGCTGAAGAGCTGAGGGACAGCACCCAGGCCCAGAGTTCAGGCCCCACGACCGACAAAAAAAAAAAGAGTCATGGATTTTCCTGCCCTGGCTGGCTTCAAACTGCAATCCTCAGATCTCAGCCTCCTAAGTAACTAGGATTACAGGGGTGAGCCATTGGAGCCTAGCCTAAGCTGCTTTCTTACTTTGACCTTTATCCTTTTCTTTTTCTGTTGTTCATAACTGCATCCCTCAGTTCCTGTTGAATGAAGGAAAGAGAGAAAGAAAGAGGTAAGGTCTCTACTCATTACCTGAAAGGTAAGATGGAGGAGGGGGCCAGGCAGGTAGAACAATAGATATGAAGCCCACATGGGGTTGGGCTTACATGGGCTGACAGACTGCAGATAACAAAGGAGAGCCTAGTTGGGTTAGAGGAGGGCCACAGCAAGGAGCTTCAGTCTGACCCCAAGGGGACCTGCTGACCATCCAGGGGCCTATGGCCTGTGTCTCTCCCATACCCCCTCTCCTGGAGCCAGCGCCCTATTGGTTGCTCCGCAGTCCAGACACCGCCCCCCCACAGGCTCAGCTCACTAAGGTGTCAGGAGCTCCTGGGCCTGAAACACCTTCTTGTTCCCTCCAGCAGCAGCAGTCCTCTTCCAAAAAGCCTCCCCCATCTGAAGCCATCTCCCTGGGTCCCTCAGTGTCTGACTGCACCTTGTACTAAAGTGACCGAATCTGCCCAGCTCCATGACCATTCACCTCCGCTTTAGCAAGCTACCTACCAGGTCATTTACATACGCAGACAATATACTGGAAAGGTCATGGATTAGTGGTGCGTTTTGTTCATCTCCAGGGAGGTAAAAGGTTCCAAGGGAAGAAGAAATGAGGCTGCCTACAGGGATCAGGAGCGACAGTGGCATTGCTCCTGGGCCATGGTAGCCTCGGTGGGGAGAGACATCCCAAGAAGATCCCTCAATAGCCCAGGCACTTCCACTGATCTGCTAGCAAAGTCCACACCCAGCACCTGGCTCAAGACTTCTGGATTGGCCCAAGGAAGAGGAGACCCCTGGAGCCACACCAGTATCTATCTTGGGTCCTGCTTTCTGGGGACACAACACATGGGGCCCAAGCTCTCCTCTCCTCGTTGCTACCCACAGCATGTCACTGATCAAGAAGCTGGCCTCCCTTCCTCCACATCCTGTGCCAGGCAGGGGTGTGGCTTTGGCCTCCTGTTCGGGGATGTGAGAATACCTTGGCATCTCCTACTGGTAGTTGTTGACCCCTCTAGCTTCCGTCCCTGCCAACTCAGGTGCCCAAGAGCTGCTTGTCAAGGGCTGCTGCTGCCCTGGGAAACTCATACTGCCAGAGGCACC